TTTTTCCAACTTTGACCCTGCCAAAGTTATGTGAGTGTTGAGTTTCAATGATTCTTAAGTATCTTTAACTGTAAATCCTTTACGTTGTTGCTGAGTAAAGCTGCAATATTCTGACATTCAATCTCACTCACTTGAGTTACCCTTTGTCTAAAAAGAAGCCGGCATGTGCATTCCTGGAGTACTGCCTAAAAATGAATAATTAACTGCATAGCTCCTGTGCGAAAAGTACAAATATTCCAAGCAAAACCCAATACTATCTGAGTGAAGTGCTTTGAACGTCGAGATTGTTTATTGCGTGTATGACATTGTTTGTGATTTCAAACCTGATATGTTTCTTGGGCCAACATCGTGTTTCCACAAACTTTGCAGATAAATTCAGGAGCGGATTCCATTCAATTTGAACGGTAATTAGGAATAAGATCACAGAAACAAACTGTTGTTTGGCCAATGTTCCAACGGACGCCTTTTCTACAATGCGTATAGTCCGTGTCTTTGTAATGAATACTTTTAATCAAGATTTTATTATTACTTCAAATCTTGACCTGTCAGACATATGACACTTGTCTAGAGCACAATAAAGGTAAACTGTCTTTCTCCAGCCACATTACTCATTTTATTACAAGATAACCATTCACTGCAGATAGATCGATGAAATGTTCGATAACCTCACTAATTCCGTTCGTGTTTGGTCGCGGGAGGAAGCTCTCAAGCTTATCGCGATGCAAAATATGATACTATCATTTAATCGGACGGTGTACCAGATGCAATTTGTCTTAAGTCGTTTAGGCTAGCGGAAGTCTATCGCGTTCTCGCCGATCAAATAAACGAAAGTGACAATATTTATCACTCGGCCAAAAATTATAGCAAACGTCACAAGGCCTGCGGTGGTATTTTTCTTAACGATGAAAATTAAACATAGAATTCAAATGAAAGCGGAAATGTTGCGTGCGTTTTTCCTTCCGATGCACAAATACAGAGAAAGCTAGATATTCTTAGCACAAAATACCAACGAAACTAGTGAACTAATAATCACCGCATATTTCACAAAGACTACGTTTGAGTATAAACAGTGTAGTGTAGCAAACGACCAGACTGATTTCATCGCCCATCGATACGCTAACAGAACAATCAAGAGCTCAAATATCACGTCTTCGATATTTTACTTCAGTTCACTCAGGTAAACTAGATCCGGGTTCTGTTTGGAGCCGCAAACTGGAAATCAACATTTATTTTTGTTTCGATTATGACCTGTAGATCCTTAGTTGGGCATCAACAACATCCCGAATGTGTCAGATCATGACTTGACACTTTTGATGAAACTGTTATAAGATTCAGAACTTTAGAAGGATTCAAGAACTGTTCGTCTGTGTTGTCAGACGTATATGAGGCTGGATATTTTAAAGATTTTATGTTAGTGTTCAACGATGATAATTAACCAACTGTCAAAGATACGTACGATGCAGCTGAACCACAAAAGTCACCAAAACTTACCAGTTCACTTTCCTTCGAGATCGACCCGATTTCTGCCGTTCCGCCTCCCGACGGAGCAATCTCCGCGGGTAACGAGCTCAGAACTTGTTGTTCCATCGGCTGATCGGACACAAACCGTAAATGACCGACAACGCAAAGCAAAGAAATGTTAAAATTTTCTCGCTGTCAAGAACAAGACCCATGCAAACTGTCCTGAATCCGCGCCAATCATTTCCCGCAGACCACATGGTATAACAGACACAGGTTATACTGGTAACTAGGGGAGGGGAGAGAGAAGATAGTTTCGTCAGTTCCTCTTTCATCTTTATTTTCAAAAAAAATTCTAAAAAGCTCTCTTAATCTCTATAATCGATTATCATAACAGTTTGCCACCGCAGAAAATCAAACAAGCAGCCCTTTTTAAATTGATTTTACTATTGTTTTTAATATTCCCCTACCCATCCCTGAAAAACATGCAATTCGACAGACAACTTAATTGAAAGCGAACACCTGCCATGTTGACGAAAAGCCCGAAAAACAAAATTCACTTTTGTAAACTAAACAAGAAAGTCCATATATTAATTATATATGGAAGATGTTTTTGTTCGGAAAAAAATCAACTCTGACAATAGCTTCAAAAACGACCTAAAAACATGCAAGACAAATTTTTGCCCGGCAGCTAATTATGGAGACCCAAGCGACATATATGTATCATACTCTAAGCCAACACAACATCTTATGAAGCATCGATAAGGAACGAAGTTAAGGCTCCCAGCAAGTTCTGTTTTATCTTGCGGTTTCAAGTTACCCATGGACAGGCACTCGATGTTCAGCGATCTTTGTGATAAAACATTTTAATATATTTTGAAAAGCAAAATCCCGAGATATAAAGGATAATGAAAAAAAAAAAAAAAACTTGTTGGCTTTTGCACATATTTGTTGGCATCGAGTAAGAGACTTTGGATTAGTATCATAGACTGAGCCCATGATTTCACTTTCCTTAGGAAAAAAACAGAGAAAAAAAAAACGACTTCCTATACGGAAATATTATGCTATTAAAGAGAGCATGATGTTTCGTGTCGATTTTTAAACCTTTACAAGCTTAGCTAAGAGGCATTTAGTTCTAAATTGTAAAAAATCTTTTTCAGACGCCAGCTTCTAATTTCTTTTAACTAATTTAAAGAGTTCCCCTCATTTCCAAGTAGGGAAAAAAATGGAAAATAAAGTGGAAACCTTAAGCAACTTCAAGTACCCTTGATCTGTTATTTGCTACCCTCGCATTGCACAAATCGCTATCCACTCGAAACCCTATCCACTGTTGCCTTAGAAACATAATAACAACGCTTTTGGAGGTATCAGTTAATGAGTTTTCAAGGGCTTTTCAGGTGGCAACTAATTTACTGGTGTTTCCACCTTAGTACTCATAATGGAGTCCATCGAAACGGTGGATTCTTTCCAGAGGCGGTTGTCAGATCCACCTTTCTGAGTAATTTATGCATGATTAAAAATCAGTTTACACAAGACAGCATTATTGTTGTGAGCTTTTACGACTAACGAATAAGTTTAAATGCTTATGATAAATATTTATGCCAATTTTTCTTTTAACGAATACCCGCAAGATACACTTATCTTTGACAGCAAATACATATTTTAAGGACAGTTGGAAGGCTTTACTACGTTCAGTGAAGACTTTACTACTTTTTTTGAGACAAATCTAATTCTTTTCACCCTTACTCTCTTACTCAGCTATAGAAATTATATAGCTAAGTCATAATTGTAATCATTACTCAGCTAAAAGAATATGTCAACGATCACAGCACTATGGCGAACATTTCCTCACGACTGAGTCTTCATGAAACGGTCCATTAAAATCTTGTACCTGAAATCGAACAATACTGACATCTAACGATAAACCACCATATCGTCCGAAATTGGAGAGGCGTGCCCAAATAAAACCAGTGCCCAAAATCAAACAAAATTTGTGTCCAAACGCGCACGCTAGTCTTAAAAATCGGACGCCAGGGTCCAAGATAAGAAACTGTTGTTTAAAATCCGACACTAGTGTCTTAAGTCAGACAATACTGTCTAAAATCGGAAACGGACAGTACTTGCATCGAACACTAAAGTCTTTAATTGAATGCTAGTGTCCAAAATCGGAAATCAGACACTAGTGTCAAATACCGGACACAAGTGCCTAAAATTGAAAATCGGACACTAGTGTCTATAGTTGGAAATCAAGCACTAGTGTCTAAAATTGGAAATTGGACACTAGTGTCTAAAATTGAATACCAGTATCTGAAATTGGAAATTGGACACAAGTGTCTTAGATTGGAAATTGGACACTAGTGTCTAAAATTAATAACTAGTGTCTAAAACTGGAAATTGGACATGAGTGTCTAAAATTGGACAATGGTGTCTAAAATTGGAAATTGGACACTAGTGTCTAAAA